ATGTATTTCTGCAGAGATATTTCATATTTTTGGTGAAGTCTAATAAAAGTACCATCTTTAGATCATGTGCATGAGGCGTTCTACATTCTTTCCCTACACTATTTCGATATTGATTTTAAAGGGAACTTGACATCTAGTCTTAATTTGATAACATCTCAAATTCTAAAGTACTGCAAAAGCCAATTTGATCACAACCAGATTCGATAGAATGTCAAAATCACGGAGCTGTTTTTATTTTACAATACAAGGGTTGTACATATTTTATATTTCGGGATTAGAGAACAAAAAGAAATATTAATCACCGAAAATCGCTTTATTGTTTTTCAAAATATTTTCCATTAAGTTCTACGCACTTTTGCATTCGTTTGAACAAATTTTCGAAGCTTTTGCCACTCTTATTGAGGTATCTCCGAAACATACGTTCTGAACACATCAACCTCCTTTTCAGGTGTCAAAAAATGTTGACATCTTAGTTTATTTTTACGTAAGGGTCATTCGGTCCCAATCAAGACTATACGGTGGATGACTCATCAAATCGATGTTTTGAGTGCTTACAAATGCAGTGATTTCAGTCGATGTGTTAGCTCGCATTGTCGTGGTGAAGAGTGATCCGTCTTCGGCGCTTAGTTTTCCTGATTTTTTGAAGACAAATGACAAACAATGGTTGTGTACCACTCAGAATTTAATGATCTGCGTTGTTCTAGTAGTACCGACGTTTTTCGAAGAAAGAAAATGATGACAAACAGAACTCGACAAGTTGAATATATGATAACACGTGATATAAGATACATACATATAATATCAGCTATTCCTGGATCCGACAAATTCATACATATAATATCAGCTATTCCTGGATCGAGCAATTCCATCTCCCACTATTGGAGAGAAATGGACGTGTGCAAAATTTCAGTTCGATATCTCAAAAAGTGGGAAACTAATTCGAGTATACAGACAGATGGACAGACAAAGAGAGAGACAGACAGACGGACATGGCTGAATCTACCCAGCTAGTCACGGTACCTATTTATATATATGTATATATTATTATGTGGTCTCCGGAGTTTCCTTCTGAGTGCTAGAAACTTCGTTGCAAAGTGAATATACCCTGTTCTGGTGATAAATATAATTCATAACTACGTATTCGATCTCAAACTTATAACCGTGAAAGACAAGACTGTCGAGATTATCCATGAACAATTTAGATTTTCAATTTGCTAGAAGAAAAGAAATTCTACAACACTTCTTCCATATGGTCACAGCACAAACCTTTCACCTTGACAGCACCGCTAATAAAATTATAGCCAAGAGAAACATAACAAGCAAAAAAATGCAATTAAGAAGCACAATGAGGAGAACTTCAAGTATAACGGTTGACAAGTGTATTTGTTCTCATGGTCAATAAGCGAGAAGCGTCTATTCACATTCACTGTCATATACGAGAACGCGCCTCATACACATTACTTACATTTACGCGCATCTAAATAGCATTAGATTCGCACATGCTAGAGCATTGTACATATACGAATGTACTTAAGAGCGAGCACACAGTTAAACACCTTTATACACAATCATTCGGCTGTGCAACAAAGTCGACTCAGTGCGTAATGTTGGTTGACAGTGAAACGTATTTAAAAATAACACAATACAACAGTTACGAAACAGAAATAGAATGTGCCGTAAGAGCGCGAGAATCTTAAATAAAAGATGAGTTACATATACTATGGAAGGGTTTAAGTTAAATGGCTCTGCAGAAGGAGGGCCGAAGGGTGCGCGACTACTCAGTCATGCTGGCAGCCAGGCCAAACTAGTAATGTCGACGCAAGTCAGGTGTACGGGGTCACACACTTGGCTTTCAGAATGTGAATGTTAAATGCTTGAGCAAAGAGAACATGACATGCTTGCAATTCAGCATTTGATAGTATGCATTATGAATAAAATAACAAATTGCACGTAACTGAATTGCACAAAGCGGCAGAATGTTGAATGCAACACACTGAGTGGTGCCTCGATGTGTTCGCCTTTCAACTTTAATTTAGCGTGTATTTTGCAAATTAGTAAAGCAAACGTGGACGTTCACTCACGCACACACACACCTATATTTCACCAAGCCCATGAGTGGAAACTGCTGAAAGCGAGAGGACTGGGGCGTAGCTGTCAAGGCCAACGATATAGGTTACTGAAAAAATACGTCCTAAAATAGTGAAATTAATTCAAAAATGCGGTTCGCAGAGTTGGAAAAATAACTTTGAATTGAAAACGCGTATGAAATACGAATACGCCAATTATAGTACATATTATATATCTATATAAATATGTAAATAATATTGAGGGCATATTGAGAGATAAAGCTTAAAACAAAATATAAATGCTTTCCTTATTTTATTAGAAATATTTTTTTATTTTAGTTTATACAATCAGTTTCTCAATTATCAAGTATAATTGGATGAAATATCGAATAATAAAAATTTTAACAATAAAAAAAATTCATATTCAACTTACACCTGTTATTTTAAGTAAAATCTAATTTTTCTACAAACTGTCATGTCTTTATTAATTTTTTATATTGTGGTACTTTGAGCAGGATATTTTAAGTCTGGCACGAAGTTTGTAACCCACAGAAGGAAACGTCGAAGACCCTTTAAAATAGATATGTAAATGATCAGCATGACGAGCTAAGTCGATTTAGTCTGTCTGTGAACACAGCATTATTATCAGTTTTTGAGATATCGACCTGAAATTTTGCACTCGTGCTTTTCTCCCATTTGTAGGAACCTTCAATATCGGACTATAATAGCATATAGCTGCCATACCAACTAAACGACCAAATTAAGTTTTGTATGCGAAACTTTTTAGTTAGCAAAATACCTTCACGAAATTTGGCACGGATTATTTTTAAGGCAGAGGTACAACCTCAGAAGAAATTATTCATATTCGACCACTACAGCATATAGCTGCAATACAAACTGACCGATCGAAATCAACTTGTTGAATGGAAACTATTCTATTTATGAATGGTATTAAGCTTCGGTGCAACCGAAGTTAACGTTTTTTTTTGGTTTAATTTTGGCAAGATTTAAAGGATACGTAAAACAAATAATATTTTTCAATATTTAATTAGTGGATTATTCTTATTTGTGGTCGAGAACTGTAGAGCAAACTAAAAGCAAACTAATAGACTAAAGTTAACTATAAAGAGGATGAACACTCTGAAAACAGTTTCGGTTTATGGTACGTATATTAGAGGTATGTATGTCTAAAAGCTCGATCGGCTTTAAATGCTTTCATAGAATTTGATTGGCACACAAAATTAATTATTTACTTAGCTCTATTAAAAATATGATTGTAAATTCTGTAAAGTTTTGTCGATAGCACATAACCAATTCATATTGCAAACAAACAGAGCTGAACGTACGTGGCGTATGAGCGACGCTATAAGTATTAAAAATATAATAATGCAAGTTATGTAAAAAAATTGATAAAAATGAGAAATATTAGTAATAATATTATTACACTACGTTATACCTGTGACAGATATATGGTAACAGTACTATACCACAAATGTGTCTCGCCAAATATAAACACTTTATATCGCAGGTTACTAAATGACCTATTTTATAGTAGTATTTTAGTCGACACAGCTAAAAATAGTTAACGAACATATAATGTACTAAAGCTCATGCACAAAATTTCTTCAAAATATTCTGTCCAAAATTTCCTTAAAGATATTGAACGTATTAAAATGCCGGTTGTCGTGCATAATACACATTTTGGTCTACGGTTGCCTAGCGACTATCAAGTAGCGCCAGTCGCAATTTTAACGCAAAAACACGACATTCACTACTTAGCAATACAATTGCAACTACACATTATAATTTGATCCTTTTTATTGAAATTCCTAAAATTCCTTTCGAAGTAAAATGAAAAATACTGTATATTAATATTTTAAAATCTTCTTACCACAACTTCGTCAATGTTCTAATGGACTCTTGTCATTTGAACTTACCTGAAAATAAAAGAATAAAATGATTCATTAATAGATGTTCTATTTTCTCAAAAGTCACATATTTTTAAAAATTGTTTAAAAAAAATCTGAATATTTTTCGACTGAAAATTCGCCAGGTTTTCTATTATATAATTCACAACTTCTGTTAATCTCTTAAAAAAATATTCATATTTAGTGAACTTTTGAAGATTTTCGAACTTCCGTTTTACTTTATACCGCATATATCGGCCAATTAGTGAATTATCTTAGTGAAAACGACAGAGAGTGTTTTACTAATAATAATACCTTGTGTTTAAAATGAATAAAATCGGGTGCAAACTTGCCCTAGCCCCAAAATAATTATACTATCAAGACTTTTGAACAGCCGGCTGACTGTACTACACATAAATTGGTGTTGGTAAGTGTACCTTAATGAAACTCAGGGAGCATATTATTAGCATGTGACATGTTAATAGTATGTGGTATTTCCAAAAAAAAAAAAAATCGTGTCAATATATCCCCTATATTATACCTAATATGCAATTTTCGAAATTTCGGTTGGCCTTATATATCCCACTCCCATATACTACATATAATGATTTTCGTCATATAAAGAATTTCGATCCATTGGTTGACGTTTTATACATAAACTCAATATATTAAATTTAGCCTATTCGTTTGCTTTTATATCACATAAACCTTTAGTTGATGTGATACCAATTTCAAATTTTATTGTAATCGATTGAAGATTTATAATCGAATAATGAATTTTGAATTCTCAATAAAATTAAGTGAGTACATGACCTTCAATAAAAATTAATAAGATACCAAATTTGATTATTAATGAATGTTGAATTCTTTCGTAATTTTTTTTAAATAAAGTTTTGCCAACACCTCGCCCGGCTTTGATCCATGCAAGAGTATAAAAAGTTCGGTTACACCCAAACTTTGCCCTTCTTTGCTTGTTATATTTAAATATATGATAATATGGTATTATCTATCTCATAATATTACTGACCTATGACGTTGTTGTTCAATTGATTGGCCAATTCGATGCAGTTTGAGCGCGACAACTTGAAGTTTAATAAATTAGCACACGGGAGAAGCGAACACAATTTTCACTATAGTAGATGATGAAATTTGTGTACATTTATTTTGTTCAGTGAATTTTAAAATTAGTTTTTTAAATGAACAAGTATTTCATCTTTATAAATTATAATTTTCAGTACATAAAACTATAACGAGGTCACTTAAATATCAAATTTTATGATTTTCTGACTTTTTTTAAGATTTCCACACACTCGAAGAACAGTTAGAATAACGCTACCGATGATTTATCTAACATTGCCACTTTTGACTGCCACTACCACTTTGATATTTGTTTTGCACTTTAATTTGGTTTTACTTTAGTTTTCCGTTGATTTATACTTGAAGTTGACTTACACCATCCAAACTGTAGGACACACATGCAAACACTAGAAAAGCATACAGAATCAGAATAGCATATATAGTTGAACTGAAGACAACTTGGAGAAGCGGTACACAGTCAGTAGGTAAGTCAGGTAGCCTAAGTATCTAGGTAAACAATGGTTTGGTATTTATTTGGGTTCGGGTGAAAGACCAGACGAGTACCATGTCAGCTTAAAGCCCCTAGCGGAGCACACATGAACTGTCGAACTGCACTCAACTACTGCAAATGGCATTCAATCCTTTTAACAAATGCTTTTCATTCTTTTTTTTTGCCCTTCCTCACTCAAATTTCTTAGTTACACATCTACCTCACTCCTTTCTTTAGTTGCTACGCCACTTCTTGCAGGAGCCTGGATGTGTGCCCCAGACAACAGCTGAACGATAACAACTGCACAACCACTCCTGCAACTGTGGCGAGTGCTGGCGATGACGCTGCCAACGCGTAACGCAAATAACGAGGTCAAAAACTATCTACACCACTTTACAGTTGCTATTGTTGTATTTTCAACAACACTAAGGCATCGCACAAAGAACACCGGTGATCTAAGCAGCCCAACAGGGGTACAGTGCGAACAACTGTCGGAGCGTACGAACGGCAGGAAGCAATTTTGCTCTGGATCTTTAAAATTGTCCACTTTTGTTTTGAACGGCAATTTATTGCAGTTAAAGCTTTTTTGACAGCCATTATCAACCGCTTGCCATTACTAGACATATTTTATGACAAACCGGAGTTTTCTTTTCGTTTTGTGGGTAAACATGCCGAGTTGTGTACGATTTGTCGCACGTTCTTGTTGACTTTAGTTTTTGCACATATTTTGATAGCCTTTTTGTTATGCTTTCGCAGTTATTTTCGTATTGTTGACATGCTCCGCATATTTACATTGAACTTTAGTTGTAACGTCAGCAGCCGCCAGCGAGTTGTGGCTCGAATTACGTAAAAGTCAGTAGGTAGGCACGTGTATATGTACGTAAGGGTGTGTGATTTGCCTTGACTGCTGTGTGACAGGCCACTGACCAACCAAAGTTGAGGAAGGCGGTGACAGGAAAAAAATATGAGCGAACACAAAAAAAGAAATATGTAAACAATAAACTTTTGGTTAATTAATTTGATTTTGTTAACTTCCAGCTCAATTTAATGCCTCTCAATTCAACATAAATTATTTCATTTGATTATTCTTTTACTACATTTTCACATTTGGGCACAATATTACTTGTTTGAATTACAGCTAAATTATGTGATTATAAATAAAATTATATAAATAAAACTGAAATTAGTTATACTAAATGGATAAAGTTTGAGTGGAATTCAATTTGCTTAAATTACAGTTAATACTACTAACATGTTTTCGCTACAGAAAAAAATTTTATCTGAAACTTAATAAACTATATATATTGGACACCAGTAACACACAGAACTCCAGAACTCCACAAAAACAAAAATATTCTTCATAAAGGAAGAAATCGAGAGTATATGGAGGTTCCAAAAACATATTTTAAAATAATTTTTAGATTAAATATTTGAAGGTGCCTATATACCGGAAAATATGTGTTGAAATACAATTAAATCAATGAAATTATTATGGAAGGTTTTGGTATTTCACAGCACTTGAAGAAGTCCAGTGCTGAGCTTTAAAACCTAAAAATTATATAAACTTATATTTATATGGCACCGCAAACTTTGTGTTCTTTTAACGGGGTATTCTTGTCCAGAAAAAAAATCAAATTTTTTTATATTTTCCGTTTAATTATTCAAGACTATGTGTACAAGAGATTTCTGTGTCTAATTTAAATTATTGCAGAATCATTTTTATGAACTTGTCTAGCTATGTAAACAGCCATATTCTCAATAATATATTTATTTTTTACTATTTTTAAAAAATTCGTAACAATCAAAAAAGTAGTACAACATTTTTTTTCAGGCAGTCGCTATTTTGCGAAAATAATAAATATATAAAACAATTCCAACTTTTAAGGTTAATTTTTTTTTTGTTTCAGATTGCTAGGAGGGTTGAAATCGTGGGTATATAAGTAAATTCGAGAGCTAGCACAAATTGTTATAAAGTTAGAACAATAAAAACTTCACAAATAAAACAAACTTTCCTTACAAGAATTTGTTTCTGATCATTCAGTTTTTATGAGTGCTATATGATATAGTCGTGCGATCTGGAAAGTTTCTTCAAATATTACAGCGTTGCCGTTGTCACTTTTGTGATATTTTGTTAAAAAAAAGAAATAATTTCGAGAGCAATCACAAATTATTATAAAAAATATTTAACTAATGAAATCGGCATAATTCGAACGCGTCTTTCAAACAACCAACTATCCAATGTGAAATAAAAAATTTATCAAGAAATATTATATGAAATTAAACAAAAATTTGTAATTTGGTTTTGTGCTCCTTAAATATGTAATTGTCTTCTAACTATGTAATTTCTTAAACACATTTCCATTCATTAATAATTCTTGTTGCTTTATAACTGTATAATTTCACTATTTTTAATTTGATAGTATTTTGTACCCGCACTAATTTGATTCGCTTAACGACATGCATTTAATTTTCAATTTTATATTTCTTCGTTTCATTACAATTTTTTTTTTGTTCCGCACCTAGCGTAGGCATTAATTTTTGTGTTTATTGGGTTCAAATATGTGCTTTTCATTTCCAATTTGTGCTCAAAGGCACCTTATTATGCCACTAAACCGAGTAAAAAGTTGTTGGTGTAGCTGCACAAAAATTCGCGTACGGAAATAGGCAAGTGCTCGGTAAACGAAGTTTCTTTTACAAAGATGAAAGTACAGAGATATGACACTTTTCCCAGCATGTCAGAGCGTTGTGCAAAGAGTTAAAATTAGAAGAACGTTTACTTTTTTCTGAAGAATCATTTAGTTTCGCAAAATTACAAATATAATATATGTATATGGATTAATTGGCAGTTCATGGAAGCTTTCACGGTTTCATATTAAAAACACAGGAAAAACAATACACGATAAGCGACCTGGCTTTATCGCTTGCGCACAACTGTATGAGTTTATGAACGAGTAGATTACAACTTTGAATACCGTTGCACTTAGCACTGTAACTGGACATGAAGTGAACGACACACACGCACACACTGCAGTAAGTTGATTTGGTTCAATTGCAACTTTGACGTTGATTACGGTGTTATTGGCGCCAGCTTGACACGTGCGCACAGGTTGAGCGTTGACAATGCAATGCAAGTCGCGTGTGGGCAGCGTTTGGTATAGGACAAATCGGTACGGGATTCTATGCCAAACAGTTGTAAGACCCAGAGCGACTGCGAAGCGACTGAACGCGTTGAAACTACGACACGAAATGAGGTCAACGAGATGTGCAAATGCCGTTGCAACCGCTGGCGAACGACAACGAGGCAAAAGCAGCAGGCAGCACAGTGGCAGCGCCGCAGACAGACGCACAACGACGCACGCAAATGCCAGCGAACCATCCAACTCACTCCTTAGTCTTTGGCCCACAGAACAATCACTGAGTCGTGTACTATAATCCCCGTAGAGTGTACGGGAAGTTACGCAGAGCGGAAGTGGTGGTAGCTTTTTGGGGGATGTTCTGCGCATACACGCAGAGGCTCTCGCTAGACGAGGGGTCGCACGCTGAGAGAGCAAAGCGTTCAAATTTGACGGCACAGGGTGTAAATGTGCAATAAAACTGTGGCACGAACTGAAGAATGAGAGAGTTGCAGCAAGCCACTCTGACGTATGAGTAACAAAAGTAGGCGCAGCAGCAAAACTGTACCACCGATTGGGAGAGCGAGAGCACACCAATATAGTAAATTTATGGCGAGCTCAGAAAACTTAACTAGGCTACTAAATTGCATGGAGACCAGAGTTTTGAGAGGACACAACAAGCACTGTTCTGTAGGCAACAACACGAGCTTATCGCGCTCGCAAGCTGCAGCACGTGCGACACATATTCCTAACCCGGGACAAATAATTTAATATTTTGGAGGAACCCATAAAAATAGTAAAGTTACTGAATGAAATGTCAAGGGGCAGGAAGAAAGAGCAGAAAAAGAAAAGTTATAAAATTGGAAACACCAACAACAAACTTTAAGGAACGAGCAGACAGACTAAGCAATGCGGGTAATACAAGACGTATGTATATTCCATATTTGCAGGCCGTAAACGTAAATTGAGGGGTCAACAGACAAGGAAAAGTAAAATTCAAGGTATTACGACGCGATGCGGTGTTTGAAACGAAGAGACTATTTGTCGTTTTACGATGCTCATGCGTCATTGACACAACCGTAAGACATTCGAGTCCACAGACAACGTAAGCAATAGAAATTTGATGGCGCTTGCCATGAAATAAAAAAAAAAACAAATTTTAACTGTGACATACTATAGCTGTTAATTTCCGCTGCACCGAAGCTATAAGCTTTGAAGGGCACAGGTGCATTTCTCATAGCAATTAGATGTACATATGTATAACTAAATCTGAAAATGTAACAATCTTTAAGTCGGATTAAAGGGTTCGAGGTAGTCGGAATTTTCCAAAAATCGATATCGTTTTTTTCTTAAAAATATACTATAAAAATTTCGACAACAGGCTAGGCACTCTGGAAAAATCTGGGAAAAAAATCTCCCTAAAACCGCTATTTTGTAAATTAAAAAAACCTTCGATGTATTTATTAATTTTTTCTGTGTGATTGATTATAGTTGTAACATCAAGGATTAGGAATGGTCACCGCAACGAGCTTCGGTTGGAATTGTACGAACACAAACAGCCACTACTTTTAAAATTATTAATTTGTTTTTCCGAATTTCTGTCAAGTCTAGTCGACACCTTAGTTAATGAAAGTAACACCTTAAGGTTACTTAATAAGAAAAATGATCTTGATGATTATTTTAATCGGTCAGTCTGAAGACAGACAGACGTCCCCGACGTTTCCTACTGCTTGTTGCAAACTTCGTATCAGACATAGTATGCACTGTTCAGGGTATAACAACACTAAAATAACAGAGTGTAGAATGAAAAGTACAGAAATAAAAACACCCGATATTATGAAAATTATAATAGGAAGTAAGATAAAGGTTAATAGGATACAAAATAACAACAAAAGTTGCAATAAAAACCGTAACAACGAACATTAACAATAATAATAAAAGTGTAAATAAAACATTACAGTTGTCACAGCAATCAGAGCTTTTAACTGGCTCCATTAAGACCGTCGATTGTAGAATTGTTTTTTGCTTCTGCAGCAGGAAATGAACTATTTACGTCCTATCAAGAGTATTTCGCCATTATTAATAAAAGTGCGAAACGTAGCAAATACTACATACTCTCAGAATGCCGCATGCAAAGTGGTATTTGTTGGGTGCAAACCAACTTTGACTACACACTTTTCTTACTTTTATGTATTTATAGGCATAAGTCTATACTGCTTTGTAGACGGCCCTGAACTCCAAGAAACCAGTTTGAGAGGCAAATTATTATGATTGTTAGCGACAAGGTTCACTAAACCACTCATATATAGTGCCAGTGGGATGTTCAAGGTTTCCTTATGAATGCGTGGATTATAGCGAATGCGTTGTATTTGCTCATAATTTTTATTTATTTGTTCATAATTCAAAAAGTGTAAATTGCTTCCATATATCTTCAATGCAGTATCAAGTAGTTAATTAGAAGTTGAAAATTCTAATTCCAATGCAGCAAGAGTGATCATATACACAGGGTAACGGATGTAAATGACCTTTTAACTCTCTTTTATTACTTGTAAGCCCTATACTAATAGCCAAGCTTAATCCAATTTTCCATAAACTTCACATATTTTAGTACAATTATTTATTATCGTTTTCAAAGATCCTCAGCTACGTTACCAAGCTTCTCTTGTTTTTTGACTTCTCCTCAATGTCGTTTTTGCAAAAGATTCTGGTCTTCTTCAAGCAAACTCGTGGTTCAATTCAATGTTCAAATCGCCACTAAATTACTTATGGAGCTCAAACTTCACACGAACATAAAAAAAACTTTGTATCAATCTAAAGAAGAAAGTTATGAATTCGGTTTACGCACGCAGTTCTAATGGACCAGTCCTGGTCAAATTTGATCAGATGATAACTTATAAGCATTCAAAACTGTTGAATATGCCATTACTAAGAAGGAGTTTTCGAGGAAATTCAGTAGTCGTGAATATGTCAGGATCATGGCAACTAAACTACGTTGCCTGAAATACGATTTTCCCCAGAACAGAAATACCACATAAAGGGATTAAAGGAAATTGGTTAATAGAAAATAATTTACTTATACTGAATTTATTACTATAGGTGTGTTCAAAAAATAGCAGTAATTTTGGTTATTTGAAATAAAAAATATTTTTATATATTATATGGTCTTTATTAACGTTGTCGCCTTCAAAATAGTCCCCACTCGATATTATGCACTATGGCAGAGCTTCATCCAATCGTTGAAATACTTCCACAGGAGTTCCGGGAAATGAAATAGTTGATGAGAAGTACAGAAAATGCGGAAGTCATTAAAAAGAGTATACAATCAAATTTCTGAAAGGGCTGACAAACGGATCAGGCCGAGATGGAATGCGTTAAGTAGGGCATCGCCAAGATCATGTGCACGAGCCCTGTAGGAAAACTCGCATGCTACCGGACGGTTGTTGGCTTCTTGACAAGTCACAACCTAATGACATCACATGCGAGCCGGATTGGCATAAGTAACGACGATACATGCAGAAAATGCAGAGCAGTAGGCATAATCCGAAAGCTTCGCAGTTCAAGGGACTAAAAAAGCCAAGCGGAGCCAAGTCCTAGCGAATATGGAGACAAGGGCATCGCTACAGTTTTGTTTTTGACCAAGAATTCACAAACAAATTCTTTGATTTATTTCTTTTGAAAAACGCCTAGTTACTAAAAACTACTCTAACCTTAGCGGCAGCTACAGATAAAGTAACCAACGAATACACATTTTTTGAACACACCTCGTTAAAAATTAGATTAGTATTCTAAGTATTCTAGTTTTATATATGTATATATTTTAATTTGTGTGTTTTAATTTCTTGCTGGTAACGTTATTTTCTTTACTTTAATTAAATAAATTTTGCATAATTATTTTCGTTTCTTATTTACCACAGCTGTCTGATAGATTAATACAAAGGCCGGTCTCTTCATTTCACATCTTTGCCGATGAGCTTCGTGTAAAAGCATATAATAAACAAAATAAATAAATATACATACTTATGTATATATACTAAAAATGTTGTGGAATGTTGGCGTATAAACCGGCGACAGCAAAACTGAATTACTCACACGCCTTTACTACAATCAGAAAGAGCACACTGCCATACAAACCACAATACAATCTAGTGAGACGAATACCAGGAAAGAGTGGACTTACAACAAACAAGTGAGAATAGTGAGCTCGTTTATCGCAGCAAATATTTTTTGAATGATTTATTGTAGAAGCGGAAAGTACGCCGAGTTGTGTGATATGAGAAGAGAAAAAGCACAGTAACGAAAAACAAGCAGCAAAAGAAACAGCGATTTTTTTAGCACCGGGAAACATGTTTGATGCTTTAATTTTGTTACAAATGGCGCGTTAAGCTTCACATTTCTAACTTTTAATTTGCCGAAAACCTTTTTTCTTTTAACACGGATTTATATTTAAGCACGTACTTATGCCAGCTACTCAATTACGATTTCGAACGACACACAGAACTTCGCGAGCGGTGGAACGATTAAACCGACACTGACCGACAGCGGATAGACTACACGGATTTGTGATTCTAGAATTTAGATTCTCATATGGCAAATGGGAAAATAAGCATTTGCATTACACTTTATTTGTTGACTTCTGGTATGAGTAATTCACTTTCGTGCAGTCACCATCGCACACATCGGTCAAACTGTTTCGTTCACGCACGTCTATGAACTAAAGCGTGACGTTGTCACAAACTGCAATGCAACCCACCGACATTATAAGTGCAGCATATAACTCATACCCACACATTCACTGCGCTTATACTTATACATATTTATGTGAACATATGTGCACACCATAGATATGTACACATGTAGACTGAAGCACTACTTCACTGGCGATTAACCAAACAACTCGAAAATGTACACTGTTTCTATGTGTGTTTATGCGTCGCGTAGAAGATGCAAAGAGACAGCGACATGCTAACAGCAGATTGGACAAAAATTCTCATTAATTTCGCAGCCACCCTACAGTGCACGCTGAAGGCGAACTTATTCGATATGAGCGACTCATACTCTGTACTGCAAAGCAACCCACATACATACCTTCATACATACAAATGTATGCATCGTTAATGGTAGTTGTTGGCGTAGTGGTGGCAGCGTTCTAAACTTCTTAGAGGCAATCAGTTGATTACCGCTTTTGATGGCTGATAGCTCTGTATATGTTTAGATGTACATATGTATGTATGTACATATAAATATGTATATGTATGTATGTTGGG